TTACTTAAGCATCACTGCAGGCACAGAGCTTTCTGCTCTGGCTACTGGGAGTCATTACTAACACGGGGCAGAGCTCACTGATTTTTACCATTAGAGTTCATACTTTTTGGATTAGTCTGAATTGTCTGAGGAGCCTGTTTGATTTGATGCAGTTTGCTTCAATCCATCATGTTACTTAATAACTAGAAGAATGAAATTCTTACTCTAGAGCCTTTTTAGTAGTTGGACCGCAAGTTTGGCGCTGTCCTGGTAGGTACCGGGATGTCAAAAACCTCTGTTTTTCCAGAGAAGGTGGCAAACCCAACTTTTTTTTCAAGTGGTGCATTAGACAAATAATTCAAAACCCAAATCTCTTACAGCTTGTAGAAAGAGAAAAGGAGAAATGTGTTTCTTTAAGAAAAAGATTCCAAAATTTGGGAGACGGTTCTAGGAACTGTAAGGAGACTGAGAAACAGTGAAATAAGATACTCTGGTATACACAAATCTATTTCATACTGAATTACGAATTTGTCCCAATAGCCTCTTATTTTGTTAAGCTTCACTTAATGCAATGGTCCTTTGAATTCATACTTCTGAGTTCCCTAAAAGACCTACCAGTAAATACTACCTAAAGTGTTTGTGAACAGAGAGACAGTGCTGCTTTATGTGCCAGCTAATAATTGCACGTTACAATAAAGGGTATCTTCCAGGTGGTACAGGAAATGCTTTCTTTTGAGCTATTTCCTTGATACCTTAGCAACAGAATGACAAAATTCCAGTATTAGACTTAGAGCTGCATTCATAATTATCTGGTTTACATTTCCATGGGGCAGGTTATTAATTAACCTGCGCTCCGGGCTCAGCATTGACAATGCTCTTGACTTTCGCTGGAGTGGAGTGATTTATTTGTTTTTGGTTATCAAGCCCATGCTGTGCTGACCTTTCCTGTAAAGATGTATTGTGTTTACATCCTGTATGTGACACGATAGAAAAATCAAACTCTTCTCTTCTGCCTGGAAAGCTGTGAATAAATGATGCCCAGCAAATAGGTCATCCAATTCCAGCTTCCGTGGAGGCAAGGTGGCCTTTAATTTCGGAGTGGAAGGAATGGTATTTCTAATGCATCAGGAAGCAAAAGCTGGTAAGGCATAAGCTATGTTTTTTTATGGTTTTAGTCATTAAGTTTTTGTAGGTCTCATCAGTCTTACAGCCAATGGTGCTGTGGCTCTCTTTGTCTCAGTTCCAGTGCTGAGATATTACAGAATCATGGAATTGTCAGAGTTGGAAGGGACCTTCTAGAGATCATCCAGTCCAACTCCCCTGCCAAAGCAGGGTTGCCCAGAGCACATCACTCAGGAGCATCCAGGTGGGGCTTGAAGATCTCCAGAGAAGATCTTCACTCACTCCAGAGAAGATCTCCACACGCTCCCTGGGCTGTAGATGACAAGATCCTGAAACACTGAGCCTCTTCATCTCACTGGGTGCACCTCTATTTGCTGCCTCCACAATACCGACCATGTAATGAGGCCAGAGAGTAGAAAAGGAGACCTGACAGCAACACCGACTGTGCTCAGAGTAATAAGTTGTTGTCTGGGGCACCACTGTGGAGAGCTTTGTCTGTTTTCCTAATGGGGGCTGTTGTTTTGGGTTGCAAGCATGCGTCTCTTGCTCTTGGGTGCAGTTGAAGAGGATTGCCTGACAGATTTTGGGTAATTTGTGTCTTGAGTTTGACCAAGTGAGCTAAGAGCACTGATTTCTGGGGCTGGAGTCTGGTGAGAACATGCCTGCTGTTTGGTACAAAACAACCCGATTGTGAGAAGTTTGCTACTAAGTATGCTGTTGAGATTTCTCTCGGCATTTTTATTGCATATTTTGAAACTCTGACTCATTTTTGCTGCCTCGTGTAGAACAAATAAAAGAAATTATGAAACGAGAAAGGAAGCATCAGTGCTCTCTTAGGAGATCTCATTTCAGAGGAGCACAGCGTCTGCAAAATGACACCTACTTTTCATTTTCCTTCAAGAAGCTGCATCTCAATTAACAAAATTGATGGCCTTAATGAAGATATTTGGAGCAGTGGTTTCAGAGTTACCAGATGCTTTCATCTGATAGACCAAAAAGGAGAAAGAGTGTATCAGTAAACATCGAGTAAGGTGCAGTGTTAAATACGTGACAATCTTTAAAACAGGGCTGTTTCAAACCTGTATGTCACAGTTTACAAGGTGTGCGGAGTCAGCAATGCAGTATTTTCATCCTGTGAATATTAATTAGTCTGCTAGGCAGTAAAAGTACATCTGTCCTCACTAATAGTGAGTTTACTAAAGCAAAATGTATAGACAACAGGCACGTTTTGCAGAATTCACAGGGCTGAGGACTTTTGATGCAAATTTTTATTTCTGGTATTTTATAGAAAGGTCTCATTGTGTTGCCATTGAAACTGAGAGATGATTTCTCAAATTCAGTGGGAGCTGGACCTTGCCCATCGATGCTTTAATGTCACGTGTCACACAACGTTTGCTAATGAAGGAAAATCTGTATGGCTCCGTGCTGCTTTCATGTTTTTGTGGTTTGTGACCTGTTAATAACCTAGACTGAGGGTGATGGGCGTTAAAATTATTCTTTTGAATGAGTTGTCAGAGTTCATAACAGCACATATGGCAAAATATCTGCATCATCTTCTACTGCTTCAACTTTCTCTTACGGGCACCTGTTCAGCTGGACCACGATGAAGAATCAAGTGGCTGTATCTACTTTCTGCTTTCACCATCAGCACTCAGGTGAAAGAAGATACTGAATAGGAAAGAGAATTTCTAGCCCTTCATGTGGCTTCTCAAGAGTACCAGGATTCCTCTTGGGGAGGAGACCTCCATCCTCTTTCTGCCACGTGTTTACGGATCCGAGATCTCTTCAGACCCAAGAGCGAGAAGTTCTGGCCCTGGGTTGGATCCCCTTTCCTCTGTGGTAGGACCCCTTTTGCTCTGTGTTGTTCACTTGAAGCCTTGCTCTGCAGAAAGCAGACAGCTTCCCTCAGCTCTCTGCCTCCCATTCCAGCATGGAAAGAAATAGAAAAAAGGCAGCTTCTGAAGCATTTTAGGATGCTATCGTGTCATGTAGGACAATAAAACATGTCGTTATGGTGTGTTAAGGTAGAACTTTTTACTAAACGGTGTTAAGATGCACACGTATATATTTTCTTAAGGGACACAACATCAAGCTACCACTACTTTCAGAACTTTCTATTGCACTGTAAGTAATTAAGCCCGAGGTGTAATCCACTGATCACTCAACCTGTGCCAGTCTGGCCCCTGCTTTGATAAGCAGCTTTGATCCCAAGGCAAGGGGAGGGTTTGCCTTTCCTTGGAGCATCAAATATGGTCCCAAACCAGAGGCAGACTGGTGCGCTGGGTGCTTCTGTGCCCTCGGTGTCACTCAGCACCTTCTCAGGTATCACCCTGGTCAGTCTATTCCAGCGCTCAGAATTTAGATGATTAACAGATTTAGGTTCAAAAAGGAGTTTCGCTTCAGATCAAATTAGTGTAAAAGCAACCTTCTGTTTATTGAATCTGTAAAGTGAATTCAGGCTGCTTTCTGAGCCCACTCAGGTATTTTTATCTTCTAAATTCTTTAATATTTCCAGGACCTAAACCCAGTTGCTCTCTTCTTGCAGCACATTGCAATTTGGGGGTTTTGGATCCAGTTCTAAAAGCCTTCAGTTCCCTGCAGGGAGCTGGGGCAGGCAAGTGAGTTAGGTGGATGTAATCTGCTTTGCAATGTGTGTATCGGTGAAGCAGGTGAGTATTTTTTGAGAACCACCATTTGGATTTAACGTGGCTGCAGGTAGATGGATTCTCAGCCCCAGATGGTCCCTTTCAACCTGAATTTCTTACAATCCTCTGGGTCTGAATGCTCTGAGCATCGCTGTCGCTGATGGCAAATCCTTTCCTGACGACAGAAGTCCTTTGACTTAAGTGGAGTTATAACAGCTTATACCAGTTGAGACTCTGCCTTCTAAAGTATTCACACATCCAATCTTTTGGATTCTGACATTCACAGGAAAAATACGAAAGAAACTCCAAAGCAGTCAGTCATGTTTTGCAGCTGATATTTCCATATGGTGTAGCTGTATGTGAGAAAATGTGACTGCAAGCTGATATCCCTATAGTTTGCAACTGCTTAAATAAATAATTTGAAGGATATTGGGAACTGATAAATGTGGAGCATTTCCAAAATCTTCAGGCTATTGAAGGTGTCCTCCACGTTTTAGCAATGAAGTATGTGCTGTAGTGTAGCACAGGTTTTATTGCAAATCCTGGGAGCTCTGAAGTCCAGCTTGTGATAGTCAGAAATAAAGCAACCCATTTTGTTTTGTCTGTTCTGAGTTTTTCAAAGGCTGTTGATACAAGATAAAGAAAGATCATTTTGATGTATTTGCCAAAGAAGCAGTTGAGATTTCACAGCAGACTGCGAGATGCACTAGCCAAGCCAAACAAGATAGCTAGTGCTATTGTTTTTTTAGTAGCTATTTCCTTGCAAAGTATGAAAATGTTAAAATAGTTGGAAAACTGTTTGCAAAAGTTGTAAGCCTTCTATGCAAGGCCGTGGATTTTCTGGAAGTCTAGACTGCCCTCATTTGCGTGGTTTCTATTGGAGGTGCACCGTTCTTGATCACACTTCTTTGTGTTTCAGGTTAGGACGTTGGCCAGGCTGACCTGAACTGGACCTTGGCCTTAAAATATACCTGTCTTGCTTTGGCTGGAATATGCAGATGACTGATAAAATACACTCTGAAAGCTTAGCCTAGAGAATACATCTTGGCCAGGCCACCTTTTCAGTATGAACCTGTGCGTGCTCGCAACATGTGACACTATTCTTCAGATAGCTCCTGAAATTGCTTCTTATTTTGAAGTTTGACATACCGTATGCATGTTTTAAGGCGTAAAATGTAAGTGAAAAGTGTTTTCAATAACATAACTGAAATGTGTTTTCACTTCCTTGCTTTTTTTCGTTTTTTTCTTTTCCAGGCAGAGGGTTCCAGGCTCCAGAGAGAACTGAGAGCATATTTAGCAGCCATCAAAGGTGATTTTTAACTTTCATATCGTGTTTTCATAATGCAAACTTTTTTAAAAAATTGAGACAAGTAGGCTTGTTTATACAAAGACAGGTACAAGTAATCTTTTGTCATGAGCAGTCCACATTTCTGTTTTGGGTTCGGCACAGGCTCTTTAGCCTGTTGCCAAGGATTCTGCACCTGGGATATCAACTGTTGTGTGTACAGTTGTGCATGCACTGCTCATGCTCAGCCTTGGTGGTCCTTTGTGTGCAGGACTGCTGCCCAGACTCACATGTTGCATGTGTTTGAGCACCCACAGCATCTACACATCTCGTTACTCATCTTTGCAAATGCTGGCAGATGAAATACCCCATGCAAGGCAAGGGATTGCTTGGTCTCCTCACTGTAACGTTGCCAAGTATTACTAGTTGGATGCTGTCTGCCCTCCAAAACTATGCTCCCTGCCATGGTGTGGTTTCTCATGTATTTCTGACTGCTTAATCCATTCAGTTTAAAAATCAAATGTGATCTCCTTTGATGCTACGTTGAAAATCCAAGTAGCAGAAGCTCTCTGGTCAGTGCTTAGTATCAGAGGTTAAGTAAACAGCTGTTTAAATCCTACTGAACATTTGTAAGTCCAGCACACTCAGCATCATAAGAAGGACATGGACCTGATGGAGAGGGTCCAGAGGAGGGCCACAAGGATGATCAGGGGGATGGAGCACCTCTGCTACGAGGACAGGCTGAGGGAGCTGGGGTTGTTCAGCCTGGAGAAGAGGAGGCTCCGGGGAGACCTAATAGCAGCCTTCCAGTACCTGAAGGGGGCCTACAGGAAGGCTGGGGAGAACCTGTTTAGAAAGGCCTGCAGTGACAGGACGAGGGGCAATGGCTTCAAGCTGGAGGGGAACAGATTTAGACTGGAGATTAGAAGGGGGTTCTTTACTGTGAGGGTGGTGGAGCACTGGAACAGGTTGCCCAGGGAGGTGGTTGAGGCCCCATCCCTGGAGATATTCAAGGTGAGGCTCGATGAGGCCCTGGGCAACCTGGTCTAGTTGGGGGTGTCCCTGCTGACTGCAGGGGGTCGGACTAGATGGCCTTTGGAGGTCCCTTCCGGCCTGGGCAATTCTATGATCATATGCAGAGTGTTCTCTTTCATGTGCCACCTCTCTTTGGAGGAGTTGGAGGCCTGGTGCTAAAGAAAAAGTGCTAAACAAAAAAGAGTTGGTGACTGAGAGAGACAATAATGGCTTCTTGAGATAAATATGTATATATTTGATATATACATGCTATATATGCGATAAATATATATATGTGTGTGTATATTTTTAATAGATACATATGTATAATATATATATTTTTTGGCTCCAGTCCAGTAGGGAAAACATTACAAATGAGTATTAACATCCTTTGAAATCACTGTGTCGTAATAAAGCTTCAGCAGCTGTTGACAAGCAGGGAAAAAAGCTTGTTTTGTTAGGAATTATAAAAAGGGGAGCAAACCAGTAGCTTAATGACTTTGACTGTCTATTTTTTGCTGTATGGGCTGGGCTGCTCTCAAGCCATTCTCCACCTAGCCTGTATTTGTGTTTGGGGTTGCAGGACCTTGAACTTGGTCTTGTTGAACTTCATGAGACTTGCACAGGCCCACGTCTCCATCCTATCCAGGACCAAGTCCCTCTGGGATTTTGCCTTGTAGGGTTTTGCACAATGTATTTTGTTCTTAGAAGAAATTTCAGCATTAGTCATTTCTGGGGACCCACTGGGTGCTGATTTTACTTTCTTATTTTTCAGTTATCCCTTCCCCACACCCGTTATCAGATGGATATTCAGAAGCAGCGTGATGAGGCTGTTTGTTGGCCAGATGGCTTTTCTGTCACGTAGGCTGACTGTTTACATGCTGCTTTGATTTCCGTGTTGGTGACAACAATCCTCCTCTCCATGTTTCATTTTCTCTCTTTCTCTTCTTTCCCTAATACTCTATGCACTTGTGGTCCTTTTGCTGGTTTACTATCCAGTGGGCTTACTCTTTGCACCACCTTTTGTTTTTAACTTGGTGCAAAATTTTTTAGTATTATTTAGTTTTGCTTCTTGAGCCATCCTTTTTTGTTCAGTGTCTTTCTCTTGTTGCAGCCTGTAAGTCCATATTTGAAAATAACTTGGACTGACTTTCTTACTGAGAATGAAAAGTGTTTGCTAACACCTCAGTGTCTTCGTGTCTTAAAAAAGACCCAGTCAAAAGCAACTTGCTAAAGCCTTAGGAATGTTATTCCCCAAAGGAAACAAGCGACCAGTGGGTATCCTTGGCACACGTGTTGTTGGCACACCTTCACGCTGTGGAGTGGGACAACAGCCCAACACAACCCAGTCCACAAACACAGCTCTGGCTGGGGCTTCTGGGAGTTGGTCTCTTCTCCCAAGTCACGGGCGATAGGACAAGAGGAAATGGCCTTAAGTTGCACATAGGGAGGTTCAGATTGGAAATTGGGACAAATGTTTCCAGGGAAAGGGTTCTTAAGCCTTGGGATGGGCTGCCCAGGGAAGGGGTTGAGGCCCCATCCCTGGAGGGATTTAAAAGCCGGGTTGCCATAGTGCTTAGAGACATGGGTTAGTGATGGGTTTTATCAGAGTGAGGTTGATGGTTGGACTGGATGGTCTTAAAGGTCCCTTCCAACCTGGACAATTCTGTGATTCCCCAAAGCTGACTAGCTCAGCAGTGGCAAAGACCTTTCCAGATTTGGGATTGCAGAAGCAGATCCGGCAACTGCTACAGTCTCGTTGTTGCTATTCTTTGAGGGACTACCATCGTTAAGAGATTTTGGGGTGGCTATTCACAAAAGCATGGCAACCCCCATATTTGGGTACTGGAGTGGGATTTCTGCACCTAGGATATCTGAGCCTTGGAGGCATGCTGTCATCAGAGCCTCATTTTGCAGGGGAAAAGCTCAATCATATCGTTGGAAAATAATGCACTTGATGTCCTTGTACTCTTAGAGGTGCGAGAAGAGCTGTTCATTTTAAAGGTTTCCAGGAATAGGCAAGACAGCTAACTTTATTAAAAGCATTTTATAAAGCTGATATGTTGTGAACTCTAGTAGCAGGTTTCATTTTGCTGCATGACTTTTGAGTGACTGGATATTAGAAATGCAAGATCTGGGAAAATTTAAGCAAGGAGGAATGATCAATTGAACCTTCTTATGACTCTCTGTCCCTTCATTTTAATGTACTTGGCAGTTTGAGGTTTAATATCACACATTCTTAAAAGAATTTTTGCTGTATGCAGACTCGTCCTCTTGCTCAGAGGTGCTTCTTTAGTCTTAGCTGGATCTTGATTTTCACAGCTGGTGACTTAAGGACTTGAAGGAACCACGTCATAAAGCTGTTGAACTTGTGAATGCCTTTTAAGTGCTGTTTTATTTTACCTGTGTGTAGTTTAACATCTGCTGTGTGTCAGTGGTATTCGTACTGACGAGCTGTGTACTATCCCCCACAGCTATACTCATGCCTCAGTCTTCTGTGTCTTCCAGTCTCCTTGGCAACGTATATCTGGGTTCTTTACTTCATGGTTTATTTTTTAAAAAAAGCTGTCGGTGGCTTGAACGGTTTTATGGGCCAATTTTAAAAGAAACCCTAAATCGACCTCCCATTCTCTACCCTGAGCGCAAGGGCCAGTGCAGATGGGGAGATACAAACCTGGATAATCCATGGAGGTGGCAGAGATAAAAAGGAGCCCTGCAGCATGAAAAACAAGCACCACACTTTTCACGTGGCTTAATGTAGTGAGAAATAACAACTGGGTCTACAGGAAGGCAAGGGGAGATTTTTGGAGGTCTGTAAGCTGCCTAGTTGCCAGTCGGTGGCTGATGGAACTGCACGATATCCTCCAGACACACAAATCTTAAAATCAATCATGTCATTTCTTAGAAGCAGTGAAACTATTCATCGTCTTTCTGTAAAATTTAGTAATGAATTATGAAATGACTGAATTGTTCCAGTGGAAACTCTAAAGGCTAACTAGCAATAACAGACACAACCCTTATGGCAGGATAGGTCATTTCCCTGGAGAGCTGCACATGAAGCTCTCTTCCCCACTCAAATAATTAAATATTAAGAGCCAGGCCAACCTGCCTCACTCCATCAGAAAAATGGAATTTTCTCCATGATTCAGTTGAGATTCCCTTGATGGAGAGGGAGGAAACCCCACAGTGGATGGGTCCTACGGCCAACACGGAGTCCCAGGTTGGTCTCGGTCTCCTTGGGAGCTTGAGTACATTGGAATTGTGATGACAAAGAGTCACCTGCCCTCTGCCATCTCTAGGGTGAATGTCTCTGCACCACCACCCCCAGGATCCCTACCACATGGGGGTCTCGAGGAGTCCTTTGGGACTCCAGGGGCAGGGGGTCTTTCCCATAGAAAGAAGGATGATTTCATCCAAGAGCTTCAGACTTCAGTAACTGGATTATTTAGTATCATTTTTATCTAAGCGATTCAATTATTTTGGCATTTGTAGTTATTAAATAAGTGACCCAATTACCAAGTGTGGAGTGGGACAACAGCCCAACACAACCCAGTCCACAAACACAGCTCTGGCTGGGGCTTCTGGGAGTTGGTCTCTTCTCCCAAGTCACGGGCGATAGGACAAGAGGAAATGGCCTTAAGTTGCACATAGGGAGGTTCAGATTGGAAATTGGGACAAATGTTTCCAGGGAAAGGGTTCTTAAGCCTTGGGATGGGCTGCCCAGGGAAGGGGTTGAGGCCCCATCCCTGGAGGGATTTAAAAGCCGGGTTGCCATAGTGCTTAGAGACATGGGTTAGTGATGGGTTTTATCAGAGTGAGGTTGATGGTTGGACTGGATGGTCTTAAAGGTCCCTTCCAACCTGGACAATTCTGTGATTCCCCAAAGCTGACTAGCTCAGCAGTGGCAAAGACCTTTCCAGATTTGGGATTGCAGAAGCAGATCCGGCAACTGCTACAGTCTCGTTGTTGCTATTCTTTGAGGGACTACCATCGTTAAGAGATTTTGGGGT